CCCTTCGGTTTATCTTAACCAGCTAGGGGGTCTATCTCACCCCTCCTACCACTATCACATAATATCATAACATACTAACACATAAATCCAACTACAAACTCCTACTAGTGGTTCGGCCTTGGTGCCTTAGACCCACTGCTACCGGGATGGTAACTCACCTCAAATGCTGCAAAGTAGCTGAAAAATCCTCAACTCTAGCAACAACCCAACTCAAATCTCTACACATAAAATATTTCCTTTAATTACTCCATTCATACTCCTAACCCCTTAGGGCCAGCTTTGGTCAAAGTCAAAGTCAAAGTCAACACCCTGGTCGAAGTCAAAGTCAACATTCCGAGTTGACTCAACTCACCGAGTTGGCCCTTCAACTCGCTGAGTTCCATAAATCATAAAATCATGTAGTCGCGATCCAACTCGTCGAGTCCTTTCATGGACTCGTCAAGTTCCTCCTATCAACTGAATCGGGACTTTTCAAATCCACTCGTCGAGTCCATCCTTAAACTCGTTGAGTCCTTCCTTTTAACAAAATCGGGACCCCTCGACCCAACTCGTCGAGTTCCTCTATGAACTCGTCGAGTTCTTCAGTCTGTTAAGCCTTCTTAATGTATTAAGCCATTATTCTTCAAGTCTAAGTCCCAGATTCCAGATCTGGGTCGAAAACACACCTAGGAGGGTAAAGTTTCCAACTTTACCCATTAAAACCCATCCTAGAAGAAATAAACTCTAACCCTAACTCAAAATGGCTTAGATCCAAACTCCAAAAGTCATCAAAACTTTAAGGTAGACCATAAGGTCATAGATTAGGACTCTAAGGATAGTTTGGTCACGTAAAGTTCCTATCTTTACTTGAATGCATGACCTACTTGGCTCAAAAGACCAACAAGATGGTCTAAAAGTTGCATGGGGCTTCCATGGGCATAAAGTTGGCACCTTTATGCCATGAAGCCCCCTCAAGACCTTAGATCTGAAGGGTTTTCCCACATAGGACGTCCAAATCCCAATAACCAACAGTCTTGGACCAAAACATGAAGAAATCATCCTAAAACTAGATCTAAGCATGCTATAGAAAAGGTAGGAGCTTTATACCTCAGATGAACCATAAATGAAGCCCAACTTTTGGATCTACTCTCCTCCTACACGTCCTTGCTCCTTCTTCAAGTACCTTTCTTCAAAATCACAAAGAATGCACAAAAGTTGGCTCAAAACTCTCAAAAGTGAATTATGGTTTCGAGGCTAGGGTTTGGGACAATGGAGGCTGGAAATGAGGCCAGCTTATGGGGGTTAATGTGTTTAAAAAGGGTGCCAAACCCTGAAAATTAGGGTTTCATTCTGCCAGCCTACTCGTCGAGTTGAGGCTTCTCAATTCGTCGAGTAAACTTCTAAACCCGCGTCCCAATCCATCTCTACTCGATGAGTTTGGGGCCTCCAACTCGTCGAGTTTCTATACAAAAATGAATAATTATGAATTAAATACATACCGGGAACCACGCGTTACATCTTCGTTCTTTTTAGAGGTTGAATTTGAGCATCCATTAAAGGTATGACCCTATTTCAAATGATCTATAACAATTGCTAGCGTGGCAGTGAGGAAACACTTTAATTTTTTTTAAAAGGTTATATTCAGTTTGTGCCAACTTGATTATATCTTCTTCCAAGTGACCACTTTAGTGTTGGGTCAGTTTGTTGTTGTAGACAATGTTGATTTGAATTCACTTGATTGACATTACGATCACTACATCCCAATTGTATTTAAATATATGTAAGAAACCGCCTCCAGAAAGATTCAGATCATTCTTGATTCGTGATATCCTTGTATTTTGAAATGTTGACCCAAGGCTTCCCCAACTCGACTTCTTAGTTGACGCTCCATGTTTTTGACTTCTTCATGAAAGAACTCGTTGGGGTTAAGGCCGATTCTTCCGAGGACCGGTCATATTCTTTTTGGAATTGTGTGTACTGTGTTGGGTTGAACTTCATCATTGTCTTCGTGAGCATCTTGGGTTTGACGGCAGGCTAGGTTTGGGTTTTTGTGTTTCTAGCACAAATATTATGACAAACTTTGCAAGAGTCAGAAATCATTGTAAGATTGTTGTGTCGGATTTTATAAGAGATGTAGATCATTATAAGCTAATTTTTGTGTAAATATCTACAGGAACATTACATTATATTCTGTTTAGACTTTATATTGAAATTGTGGTGATGAAAACATTGGGTTATATTACGCTTGGAATGGATGAAAGAGTGATGGATCTCATGAACTCATAGCTTTAGCCTAGCGGGGCTTGAACTCGTAGCATTGTTGTGCTTTGGATCTTGTGGTGAAAAACTTGAAAAATAAAGGTTTAAATGGTATATTGTAAGAAAGTTGTTCGAAATAATGATTTGTAAAATAACAAAGTTTAAGAGGTATTTTTAGGTTTTTTTAAAGTAAAAAAAAATCCAAAACTAACCGTTGGAGCGGTGGGGGCCAAAATAACATTGGAATAGCCATGCTGCTATGACTTCCTTTTGGGCGGTACCGAGTAGGTGGGACAGTGTTCCCGGTACCATTCCCTAGTCAGACGGCTGCACCTATGCCGAGACCACTCCATGTGCTCAAGCAGTGGCGTAGCCACATGTACTCCAGATGTGTCCTTGGAACTACCTAAGTTTTAATATTATATAGAAATTATATAGAAACTTATACTAGGACCTACCTTCTAGTACTAGAAAAATATAAAGGACCTATATAATTCTATATTAGGAACCATTTAACTTTTTGTTCTAGATTCGTCACCGTCTCTAACGTATCATCTTTTCTTATTTTTGTGATTCTCTTCATTATTTTGATTAGCCCTTGAGAGTTTAATGAAGACATGTCTAAATGACTATTCGGTGAACATATGGTCGAACCGAGCCCATGGTTTTTCTTGGCTTTTTCCAGAACCGAGCCCATGGTTTTTCTTTACCTTCCATGGGTTCTTGCATTTCCACCAATGTAATGCTTCATATTCATGGAGAAAATTTATAAAAACTTACGGAATTAAAACGATCGGATTTCCAAATTTTGAGAAACAGGATAACCATGAAGATGCAGCCAACAAAATACCATCGACATGTACACTGCATCCTCCTGTTTCAATTTTACTGTGGGAGTGAGTGGTTTGTACCCTGTTTATATAAATATGTCGAATGCAATTCCATTAATCATAAATCAATCATCTTTTCGGGTGCTGTAAACGAGAAGGAAGATGGATATGGAGAGCGTACATGGAGAAATAGAGAAATTGGGTCTCCATTGTTATGCGGTGTTCTGTTTAGGAGTGTTGTTAGTATTAGTGGCGATATCGCGCTTTGCTATTTCTGATGATAAACATCCCAACCACCATCGCCGTGAATCAGAACGCCGATTCCGTTCATTGCATATGTTGTAAATGTAAGACCGGTGGTTACCTGTAACCTGTTATCCAGCTAAGATCTTGTACAATGGAAATAACTTGTTAATTAGTGCAATGAGGTTCTCGATCATTTACTGAGCATAATCACCAACCCACTTTCATCATTTTTGCTTAAAAAATTTCTTGATTTTACTTGTTTTGATGTTTAAGATAATAAAACATTTAGTGTAATATTCGCATAACCTCGAATAAGGAATAAAATTAGAACTTTTAAGTTTTTAACAAAAAATAAAAAAAAAAAAAAAAAAAAAAAAAAAAAAGTCAAAGATAACCGTATCCAAGGACTAAAAATGTAATTTATTCTGTTATACTATATGTTTTAGAGTAATTTAAGACTATTTCTTGTGTAATTTGATCCCCTTGATTTAAACCCAAATTCTTCTGTTTGGTTACTAAAATATTATTATTTTTTTTTTTTTTTTGGTTTTTTTCTATGTTTTATAAGGATTTAATCTCTAAATCATTAATTCTAATGTTATAATGAAAAATATAAACACAACTATTATAAACATAGTTTTTTTTTCGACTAGGTACTTATAAACACAGTTATTAAAAGCTCCAGCAGATATTTTTAACGTTTATTTGGAATTGCAAGAAATTTTAAACCAACTTTTAAATATTAAGCAAGAAATAGCTATGTAGTTTCAAACATGGTGTAGTAAACAATGTATTTTTAAACATCCAAGTAATAGGATTTTCGCGCTTAAAGTTTTGAAGTATGTTGTTATTTGTTGCTTAATTTTTTAAAATTAGTTTAAAAATTCATTCAATTTTCTTACATTTATGTTCAAAAAACCTGTTATGCCTTATATACAATTTTCTTATATCGATGTCATAATCATATAATTGTAGAACATTTGTCCCCGTGTCCTTACTTCTATGAAAAATACAAAATTACAGAAATGGCCCCTGTGTCCTTGCTTCTCCTTGAAATAAATAAATAAATAAATAACAGAAATTGTGTAATAGTAGGAATTGTAAAAATAATAGAATATATCCTTATTTTATACTGTAGTTAAGTTGTAGAAATTGCCCGTGTAATAGTGTCAAGCAAAGTTACATAAATAGTCATAAACGGTCCCTGTAATAAAAAGTAAACTTACAGAAAGGGTCCCTATAGTAGTATAGTTATTAAAATGACGCACCGAGTAATTTTGGGTAATAACTCCCTAATTTTATTACACCCATTCGAAAAGACGAAAATATCCATTTGACTCTATTGATTTGTGCCACCTCCGGCCACCACCACCCTCCTTCTCCGGTCATCTTCACCGATTTGTTTCTCTCTCGCGAACCCCACAACCAATTCCACCCCTGATTTTGTTTCAAAACTTTGACGTGTTTTGCGTTTTTAAAATATACGATAATTTGTTTAAAAGAAAACCCTAAGAACATGGTAATGATGGTATTGGAAAAATCAATTAATCGCAGAAAGAATTCAGAAATCTAATTGACGAGTTTCACCATATCTAATAATTGATTCAACTATGAATTGAATACTTACTACATTAATTAAGAATTTCATCTATCTTAATTACAAAACCAAAGAATGCCGGAATGTATCTAAAACTTCCCAAAATCTTCATCGTACTGGAAGCTTAAACCACCATCAACTCCGGTATTTTCAGGAAGATCCACCGGAGGTTGAATGCCATTGTTCCAACCAAAGAACGCATCAGAAGATTTGTTGATCATCGTCAGTTCAACAGCTCTCGTCAAAACCTTCTTCTTCAACTCATCCAACGAACAAAGATACTGTTGAATCTCCTCCACATCCAGCCCATCAACAGGCTCGTCGTACCAACGTGATTCGCCGCTGCTCTCCGGAATCTTTCCTCCGCGCTTCTTCTCAGCCTCCAACTCCCTCGAAACCTCCGAGTAATGTTGATTGAACTCCATCATTATGGGCGTTGGCGGTGGCGATCGATAGTTCTTCTGGGTGGCTCCCGTCTCTCCACCGGTGGTGGTGTTGGTGGCAGCGTCTTTGTTGTTATCATTCAGAAAGTCATCCAACAGGACGTCGGTGTTGGGGTGGCGAAACCCATAGAACCGACCAGCAGGGGAAGTAACCAGGATGGCGATTTGGGCTCCGGTCAAGACACAGATCTCAGAGGCTTTCTTGAAAAGTCCGGTGCGGCGTTTAGAGAAGGCGACTTGGAGGCTGTTGGGGTCTTCTATCTTCTTTATATCAATCTTTTGCCTGCCTTTGGTTCTTTTCTTGTTGATCATGGGAGTATCTCCGGCGATACTGGTTATATCCATGGTGGTGAAGACGGTGGAAAGCAGTCGTTAATGGGGTGTACTGCGTGTGTGGTTATAATATGTTGAAAGTAATTGTAGATTTGTAGGAAAGATTTATTTATAACAAATAAAGATGTCCAAAATCAAGAGAAAAATGAAATTATGAAGCCCTAAAATGTCGAGAATAGATTTCCTTTATTAAATTCATAGATTTACCCTAAGTTCATCAAACTTTTAATTAAGAAGGTCCTTACCTTGTTCCTTTGTTATTTATTTTCAGACAAAAGTTTATCAAATATTACAAACTTAGCCATTATTTTTTTTAAAGCATATATCAAATTTTCGTTTGTTAACTTAAAAAAAATGTATTTTATTCGAGCTTGTCTATGATGCGAAATTAATTTTTAACGTTTTTGTGCTTAATATTATATACGTTTTCTACGTATGAGTCGCGTCATATATAATAACTTTCGTTCGTTAACTTAAATAAAATAATTTTTTACGTATTAACTTTTATATACGTGTCGGTCTAAATTCAAGGTGGTAAACGTTTCGACGTATTCGACATAAATTTAGAACTTTCGTTTGTTATTATTTTTTTTTTAAAAGTTGTATTGTTTATACATGTGTCTGTTTAAATTAGAGTTTGTCTATGTTTCGGGGTAAATTTTTTGTCTGCATTTCGATATAATTGTTTTACGTTTTTGACGTTTTTTTTTTATGTTTTCGACGTCAAACCATAGACGAACTCGAATTTATATACCGACACGAACATATAAAAAACAAGAAGTTTTTTTTTTAATTAATGAATGAAAGGTCTAAACTTACGTTGAATACGTTGAAACGTTACTGCCTTCAGTTATACTGACACCTACATAAAAATAAGCACGTAAAAAATTAATTTATATTTAATATAACAAACAAAAGTTATTATATATGACACATCTCATACATATGAGATATATATATGTATATAGAATAAAGCTCAAAAACATAAAAAAAAAAGTACATCGAAACATAGACAAACTCCATTTTTTTAAGTTAACAGACGAAATTTATTATCTATGACACGAATAATACATAAGAAAAGTAAATAAAATTAAACACAAAAATGTAAAAAATAATAATAATAAAAACAAATAATAACGTCGAAATGTAGACAAACTTGAATTTAAACCGATACTTGCATGAAAAAAACAAGTAAGTTGTCAAAAAAAAAAAATTAACGAACGTTAGTTGTAACTTTACGTCAAAACTTTTACCACATTGAATTTATACCAACACATTCATAAAGTTAAATACGTAAAAAAAAATTAGTTTTATTTAAGTTAACGAACGAAAGTTATTATATATGATGCAACTCATATATGTAGAAAACGTATATAAAAATAAACACAAAAGTGTAAAAAAAAATTACGTTGAAATATAGACAAACTCGAATATATTACATTTTTTTATGTTAACGAACGAAAATTATTATATGTATCCCGACTCATACGTAGAAATGTAAATAAAATTAAGCACGGAAACGTAAAAAAAATACGTTGAAATGTAGAATAACTCGAATTTATACCGACATGTGCATAAAAAAAAAGAAAAAACATCATAAATGGTCTTGTGGTTTCCCCATGTCCGAAGTTTAGTTCTCGTGGTTTAAAAACATCATTGATGGTCCTTGTGCTTTCAAAACTTTTGACGATTGGTCATTATTGCTAACTCCGTTAACTGAAGGACATTTTCGTCATTTCACTACCACAGGGCCCATTTATGATGTTTTCTCTTATTTAAAAAAAATAAAAAATAAAAAAAATATGCAAAAGGGGGTCCCACCTCTCTCTCTCTCTCATGATCATTCTAAGGAATTCCATTGAAAAGAAAAACATGCGTCTCCAAAATAAACCAGAAAATCGATGTCAACTCTCTCTCTCTCTCTCTCTCTCTCTCTCTCTCTCTCTCTCTCTCTCTCTCTCTCCCCCCACTAGGTTTTCGACCCATTGCAGAACCAGATGTTAAGGAAGCTAGAAACATATGTATTCTATTCATCTATATCCAATAACAGAACAAGAAAAACCCAAAATAAGAAATAAGAAAATCCCATATTTTTAAAATTCAAATTATAGATGACGATAAGAGACAAAGATATAGATTGGGATCCAGCTAAGAGATCAACAGATATGGAGCAATTCATGTTTGATATTAAAGGCACAATCACTCTGTGTTTGAGATTGAGCAAGAGCGATGAAACTGAACTTGCAAATATATGTAAAACACACCCCACCCGGAGTTCTCCACCTCCTCCGCTTCCTTCCCTACTGATCATCGTCTCTATCGACATCTTCCGATACCATCTTCTTTTTACCAGCAGCTTCTACACAGGTCAAGAACCTAATCTTAATTCCATTTATGAACTGAGATGATCAAAAATAAACTAGCATAGAATGTGTTTGAGAGATGGATTAAGGAGTAAAGGCATGTACTGGGTGACAATTCAATCACAAATTTACAAGATATTCTCGAATCAAAATTAAGGCCAAAAAGTCATCTACATCCTAGAGTTGAATGTATGATAGTCAAACAATCAACAATTAATCACAAATGCGTAAAATAATGAAAACTGTTTCAAGGCATCACATTCGTCGTCGAGATTTATAAAAGTAAGGTAAGGGGATAAAGAATTGCTACAAACCTCATCTTTAGATCCGGTGCCATAGAAGGTAGCAATAGTAGCATCAAGTAAAGCAACATCAATCGGGTGACTTAAATCCCTAAGCTTCTCCGCCATTATCGCTAAGAAATTTGTACAAGTGTAAAACCCTATATGAAACCCTCGAGTGAATTTTTTTTGCAGAGAAATCCTGTTGAAGGAAGTAGTGCACGGACGAAACCCTAGAGGGCGCAAAAGGAGGAAGACGGTATATACATATTCTAGAAGGAACAAGAACATCATCATACTGACATCCAGTTACCAGTGAATAAATAAAGGAAGATGATTTCTTCTGTGTTTATTTTCATTCTTCAAGGGTCTTTGATTATTAGCGAATAATGGGGGATGTAATTATCGGCTTAACATGATCTGGCACTTGATCATGTATTAGAAAGAGAGGGGAAACCACGCTCTTAAAAACACCGGAGCCTCTATTTTTACACAGGAAGAAGATTTAATGGAGAGAGAGAGAGAGAGGTGGGACCCCCTTTTGCATATTATTTTTTTTATTTTTTTATTTTTTTAAACAAGAGAAAACATCATAAATGCTCCCTGTGGTAGTGAAATGACGAAAATGTCCTTCAGTTAACGGACAAAACTTAACGGAGTTAGCAATAAGGACCCATCGTCAAAAGTTTTGAAAGCACATGGACCATCTATGATATTTTTAAACCACGGGGACTAAACTTCAGATTTGGGGAAACCACAGGGACCATTTATGATGTTTTAAAAAAACAATTTTTTTTAATTTTTTTAATTAATACATCTTAATTATCATCGTACAATGAATGAGAAGGCAAACAGATAACAAATAAGTTTTTTTTAAAAAAAAAAAATTAACAAACGAAAGTTATAAATTCACATCGAAACGTTGATCATGTTAATTTATACCGATAAATATATAAACATAAGAATATAAAAAATAGTTTTATTAGGTTATTAAACAAAAAGTTATTTTAGAAAATCAAATTATATATAATATGAGAGATAAAAATGAAAGTTTAAAAAATAAGGGATAAAAATAATATTTTACAAAGTTCAAAGTGAGGGGTGAAGAATGAAATTTTAAAAAGTAAAAGGTTGGAAAAACCACAAACTCTTAAACTTAAAATATAGAAAAAAAATTACTTAAATGGTCCCTATATTTTTTACCGATTGCCACAAACTCATTTCTTGCTACCTAAAAAGACCAAATTATCCTCACATTAACAGACTAAAACTAACAGTGTTAGCAAAAAGGAACATTTATACAAGTTTTGGAAACCACATACACCATGTTCGTCAAAAACATTTAACAAAAACTGAATTTATGACATTTGGTAAACCACATGGACCATTTATGTAATTTGTCTTATTATTATTATTATTATTATTATTATTATTGTTATTATTATTATAAATCATCCGTTGATGTTATCTATAGACAAAGTTTTTTATTTTATGGATAAAGATATTATTTTTCAAAAAAAAATGTTCATTAAATTTACATTTTTTTTTTGTTTCCTTTTTCCACTTCGTTTGTTAGGATTTTGTAATTAATGGAAAAGTAGGGCGGTTATGATACTTCATTTATGGTTTTACATAGTAAACATATTACTAAGAACGACGATCTAAAGTATGAGAGTGAAAATATACGTAATTGGAAAAACGTCCGGCGATTTCGGATCTCCTTCTGGCATCGGCGTCTCATCGTCCGGCTTAGCCCTTCTTCTCCGGCGGGGTCAAACGCCGGCAGGGCCTGTGATTCGTCATCTATCGTATCTCTCTGTCTCCTGTTCGAGTTATTGATTGGTACGGTGATCATCCCTGTTTCGATTCTGGGAAGTTATATGTATTTTGGAGAATCTGATCGCAATACTCTTTCATCTAATGGCCCCTGGTCAGTCTCGTTCTTCGATTGGTGAGGGTTGGAAAAAGAATAACAATCACATACACAAGACCTCCAGTGAAAGAATCCATGCATCAATCAGGTCGGTGTCAAATTCGTTTTACATTACAAATTTCCCAGCTTACATTATCCATTCTGATATATGGCGAGCATGTTCTCGGTTTGGAAAAGTTTGTGATGTTTTTATCTCTAAAAAGTTGTCACGTATGGGGAAACGCTTTGGTTTTGTCAGATTTTCGGGTAATGTTAACATTGATCATATGATCAAGAATCTGTGTGAAGTGTGGTTCGGATATCATAAGATGTTTGCTTCGGTTCCTCGTAATCATAGGAAAGAGTCTAACTCCTATAAGGAACCAACTAAGGTGAAGAAGAAAAGGGAGAATCTTCCTGTTTCATATGCAAATGCAGTAACAGGTGGTAAAAATG